TGCTAAGGATAAACAACAGTTGATTTGGGAACATCCAAATTTTACTCAAAATTGACTCATGCTTCTCATTGAACAAAATTCACACAAAAAAAGCAGATGCATTATGAAAATAAACAAGATTAGGGATGATATCAGGATTTGATCTTTCTGAAGTATTTTTCCTAAACTTACTGGGAATGTCGTTAAAGATTAATAGGTCATTAAAAAAATCAGCATCGATCAAAACTGAATGGGATTTTCGATCATGTTTTAATCCACCCAACATATTTTCCTCAAATTTGAAAGACATTCCATCAAAAATATTTGAATCGATAGGATAAACGGAATCTCGTATAATGACATGAGAAATACGATAAGTTGATTGACTAGAAGCTTTTGTCTCACAATGACTCTGAGTTCCACTTAATTCTGGATTGCTGTATACTCTATACTGCTTTTCATAATCATGGATAAACATAAATGATCGTTGGAAGCACTCAACTTGACAGAATCAGAATTACAAAGCTTAGCATTACTTGCAGAAAGTTGAACAGTAGTATTACAAACTGCCTGTATGCGTCCGACCATACCACATTTAAAGCATCTAGAAATACTAAATGCACATGTATTACGTGAGTGAAATCGCCACAGACAAAACTTATGCTCAACTTCAAGACCTGCATCGCAACTCCTCAATGAATTGTTATCTGCATAACTTTCATTGCGCATGGGTTGGAAGGATGTAGTAATGTAGTATAATTATTAATGTCATTTTACGAAATTTTCCTCCTTTATAGCATTCGAAACTTGTATACTTTACGCGGTTTAGTAGTAGTTTCTTGAGCGTTGCATAAGAAAGTCAAATAGGCTTTTCTGGAAATGCCAAATTTTTAGTAAGCTGTATGCTTTTTTTCTTGTGAATGTAAGGAAATGAGCCACAATATTAATATCCTCAACATCTCCCTTTGTCATAATCCAGATTTTGAACCTTTCCATATGATCCTCAAAGGCATAAAAATCTGAATGTATATCCAACTGTGACGACACAGGCTCGATCGTGACGCCAATGTGATAATTAAAAGTATTCGAATTATTGTACGAACTTGGAATTCCAGAATTAACACACTTTAGACCAAACAAAACTAAATGAGCACAAAGAAATGTATTAAGGATTCAAAATCAGGCAGTCATTAAGTACAAATTAACCATTAAATCATATAAACACCACAAAGATATTTGTATTATTTAAAGTACAACCATTTTTAGAATCCCTTACTGTTATTCTGTTACTAGGATCTCTAGATATTAACACATCTAGTTGAATCTAATTATTATATACGTCGATAAAACCTACATCTTTCGATACCAAATTTAGTACTTATACCGCCGAAATGTACAAATGTATCATTTTTTTACACCATCTAACACCGTCTGTATATAATTATTTCGTTTCTCTGAAATAAGTTAACACATAGAAACTTCTGTCTTAAAGATTATTAAATAAACTTAAATTGTAAATGGTGTTTTTTAATATTTTTACATTGTGGAGGTTGGTCCCTAAAATAAATAGCTCTATAATCTTCGACATTTTGTGCTGAACATTTTGGTTTTAATGAACTCACCTAGCAGAAGGCGCTCGATCACACATCCGCACCATATAAATTGCTGCGCAGATTGAACCAAATGTTCCTTCGACATACTGATTGCCTTCCAGATATGTTTTCGAACTCCTTCACTCCTTACTTCCAATTTGATTGGGTTGGCATACCCCCACTGTAAAGGTGTTAGTGGTTAAAGCTCCATCAAGCTATGAATACTTGTGACATCATCAAGATTTATTTGTAGATATCATTAACAAGATTTAATTCGATAATATCAAACGAAGTGAACGTTGGGAAGATAGGTTGCTATTGACGTAATTATGTATGTGCAATAATCCGCACATGAAACACATACGAAACAATGACTATTAATTCATATCTGTATTGATTTTTTGAATATACTCATTGATGTTTAGGACTGCAATTGATCAGTTTTTTATTGGCATATGTGCATCCTGTGAAGATTGCCTCGATATTGCCTTAAGTCACAGGCACTATAAGCAGGGATGATGGCGACTAGCAGCGCAATCCTGGATGCGCGTTTTGTTCTACTTGAGACTCGTCCGCTAGACGTGTTCTCACCACATAGTTGATGTTCGCTCCGGGACACAAACACAGTACCGTCCGCTCCAAAGGTCATCTCTGCCTGTAACAGATGTCTATGTTTGCGTAAGCGAAACCTGGATACCCTAGTGAATCACGTTATTGTTCTCGAGTTGAGACACTTTTTTAGAACCGTTTGTCCGATTTAGGTGTCTGTGTTCCCAGTTGTGACGACCAAACAGTCTATTTCTTCCTCCGATTTTTACCACAGGACGTTTGGAATTATTACTTGAAGCATGCGAAATTTACAGTGAATACTAGAAGTCGGGCTAAATCATAGTTAAATACGAGCTCATCCAATACACACAACTATGACTTCAGAAACGGAATATTTCGAGTTTGAAACATACTATGAGTTTTGACTGTCGAATGGCTTATTGAATGCAAAACGCACACACAAACCCTTTAGCGGTCACCTTTCAATATGTTTCTGCATGTGTCGCACTCATCGAAACCCACGAAAAACGGACATTACTGCCCAATTCTAACATCAATTGAGTACTAGCTGAAGAACAAGGTAATCTGTTGCATGTCGGATTAGTTATTCAGTAGCCAGAAAGCATACATGACTGAATAAATGGTTGTTACTGAAATATGCATCCCGTATACTCTCGAACATAATTATTGACCTAATTCGCATCAGTAAGGAACGGGATTAAGTAAGTCAGATGAGAGAATATACTTTGAAAACTTATATTTCATACACCCATTGATCTGGACAGACAATCAAGGAAACGAGATAGAGAAAGCATGAATGACAGAGCGAATCGAAATGAAGTGACTTTCAGTGCAGAAGGCGAGTTAACCAACCCAATTTAATCAAGCGTTACGCAGTATTTATACTCAGATCAAAAGAATAAATTACAGACACTTAATGAACAGGGCAAGCCATCAACACACAAAAGATCACATGGGAACAGTTGAGGTTAATAAGCGAGTAAGTGTCAAGGTCAATGTGTGGCTTGAGAAAAATGGATAAATTGGTCTGTCTGGAAACTAGAATAGCCCATGTGGATTCGACATGATGCCAATCACTACATGGTATTCTGATTTTTAAATGTATACCATCGTCTCAGCAGGAAATAGTAACTAATGTCGAAAATAAAACTAAGGGAAGTCATCAAATCCAAGTACCTCAAGAGTCACCGGAAACCTTCTCCTTCAAAACCATCCAAATTGCGCGAAGATTGAGTGTCGTTTCTACGATCACTGCTTCTTCAGATATCAACTGGACATGATCTAAGTTTCTTGTTAGCTCATAGCTTTGATATCAGCGACAATCATCCGGCCGAACCCGAGACTTCATTTCTTTTAGCTTCAAAATAGCTTAGTAAGCTGATCTACAAGTTGGTCTTAATGTCATTCAAAACACACGTCCGACCTCGTCTTATAAACTAAGACACTATCACATTTTTGCTCCAGAAATGGTATATGAGTCTCTTGGAGCTAGTGCAAAAATATACATCAAAATGCGAGGCAGGATTATTTGATCTTTTTTGCCCGATCGTAGACCAGAAAGAGAATATAAGGCCAATGGAATGTCATTTGAAACAAATAATCTACGTTGTGAATCTGAAAGAAGAAATTGCTGCATCCTGGTTATTAAAAAGCAAGATTGTCTTAATCTTAGACTACTAAAGTATTCCGAGAAGCAATCTCAATGAGTTATGCATCAGAAGAAGCCAACGCAAAGTTTGAATCCAATGAAGTTCTTTGAGTTATTGTCTCAGTCAACGTGAATACAACTGATTCGGTAAATTTATATATGAGGTATCTAGCTACTTAAGTACATGTTTATGGATTATCCTCTTGAAACGAGGGGAATGGATGAATGCACTGAGCAAAAGACTATAACATGAATTAGTTTCACTCTCCCAATATTATTTGAAAACACCGCTAATATACTGTCAATACGTAATAATCAAAAATTGCTGATACGAATGTCTATCACGTATATCAACCTAGAGACAGCAACGAAAGAAAACGATAAAGGTTGGGTGGAACAACAGATTTGGCGGAAGAATTTGATAATTTGATGTAAAACGAATAAGTTAACCACCTAGGATAGTCTTGGGGCCCCGTATGAATTATGTCTGGACACGACTACAACACTTAACAGAAAGCCGATTATAGTTAACGAGTTCAGCATTAGTGTCAAACCTTTACGAATCAATTTCTTTGGGAGTTACTTCAGTTCATAGTTTCTCTGCTGCTTACTTTCTGATCCTTTGTACTAACGCTTTTCAGTTCACTTATTTATACTTATTTCTTTCGTTTTTCTTCATTTCCTCCCATTGCTTCCTTACTCTCGTTATATGACCAACAAATCCACTGCTTGTTGATAGCCAACCACAAATCGATGATTCAGGGCTTGACTATGCTCTTGTCTGCAACACCTTTATAATCGAAGGATATCAACTCATTCAAACCGGATGTCAGGAACGAAAGAGTTGAAAGATATATTTGGAAATTTGTCTATATGTAAAGAATCGTTTGATATAAACTGGCTAATATTGTGAAGGTTGAGTAGCCCGGCGTCCCTACTGATGAGCTGAAACAAGTGTGTCATCAAGTGCCTTCATTAGGGCGTGCCCTGCAAAACTAATGCGATCAGCATCAATCTCGAAGACTTGCGGAACTATTTATTTCGTGAAATTATTTACGACACAACACCTACCCCCAACCTTTGAATATCAACCAAGGCAACTGGCAATAATGAAATTATGTAGCTAGACTTGCTTTGCTGAGCACTTTTAAAGATCTGAAACCGTTTCCTAATATCGGAACATGAATTAGCAGTGAACTTCGATTTCAGAAATGAGGGAATTTCAAGTTTCTGCGGGACGTTGTGGTAATGTATGATCCTTCTAAGTCTTGTTTGAATTGTTTCACACTCAACCCTCTCCTTGGATTTTTTTCCACATTGAGCTTCATATCATACAAAACCCAGATTTTTTGCTGTTGAAGTTCCTAAGAGTTACATCTATTTTTTAATGTTGGATATTCTAATTTCCTTCTAAATGTTAAAGTTTGCCTTTACTTGCCTAGGAAAATTAACTTTTTTGCGCATTTAATCTCAGTAATGAAAACGGCTAACATTTGAGGGGAAATCTGTCCATATAAATTATAATTGCAGTTAGCAAAAATATCAACACTAAGTCGCTAGTTACACCTCTTTGTTGTAAGTAATAACTATCAGTAACATCGATTGAATCCTTAAAAGATAAGACTTACGAGTTCATTAAGCTTTTCACAGGAATATATGCTGATAATGTCTCCCATTTAACAGAAAAATAACTTTAGATTTTTGACGCTTCGATCTCATTCGCTTCAACAGAGTACTTACAGGTGAAAAGGTCAAAGTATTTTTACTTTAAGCAACAACGCAAGCATATTTGGGACGCGGTTCTATTCTTCCAGATGTAAAGTTCTACTTCAGGATTGACTTGCGTCATCGCCTGGATTAGTGGTAGGGAATGAAGTATTTGAATCCATTGGTCGCTTCCTTTATCGTGGGGGTCTCATCAGTACTGATGCTCTGGTATCTGAGAAAATCTCGACACGTGTTGAGAAGACTCGATTGGCTTCTGGAAACTCGCATTACTTATGGCGCAGGCGAGATATCCGTCTACCAATCAAAAGGCGAGTTTAATGCGTATCAGTTCACTCCTTTCTACTTATGGGTGTGAAACGTGGTCATCAAGAATAGTGGACATTCATGGATTACTACTATACGATCATAGGTGTCTTTGAAGCCTTGTTCATGTGTTTCGGGACCACTGAGTAGCAAATGCGTGGGTTAGGAACAGAGACTAGGTAAGAACGGCAAGTCGACTGATGAGGTAATAAATCTTCGTCAACTAAGGTGGTTGTGACGTATGTAGCTTATGCCTGACCTTAGCCTAGATTGATGGTCTATGTTGTCTGGTGTAGGAGCCGGGCGAAAGAAAGCTAAGGCTGGCCAATTCAAAAAATACCATCATTCCATGAAGTCATTGACAATATCAATAGGAGTATATTACTTCGTTTAGGACCGTGTGATTGTCGTAACCAATAGTTAGACTCTGAGCGACAAGCCTCGAAACCGCTTGCAATGGTGCACGTGCATCCATTCTTTATGTTCCTTCAAATTCTGAGTTTCTAAGTCCCCTATTAACATTTTTCATATTTTATCTCATCAATTTATATCTGCCTCTCAAATCATATCTTCGGTGCCTAATCTTTCCTCTGCCAGGGAAGTCCTACTCACTGCCTTCTCGTCACATCGGTGTTGTTTACAAAAATGAGAGGACGAAAAGCGAATGTTTTTTTTTATTTTATTTTAACACATAAGTATAGGTACAGGGAGGCACCAAGCACATATGCGCCACACAAATCTCAATTGATTTGTGTGAGGGCTGTGATACTGCTCGGGTGCCCAAACCGAAGCGAATGTCCGGCGCTTTAACTGGATCCCAAACCAATGGTGCACATGGGCTAGCTCCAGTATCCTGAAGGAACAAATGGCGTATGAACCAATCGTTGGTCACCGGCTACCATGGGACTGCATCTCCTTACGATGCTCCACTGCCTTGTGGGTCAGACGTTCAGGTCGAAGGCTCGGGGTGTGGCCCCCTAAGAAAACCACCTGCTTTGGTTTGGGCACCAGGGCAGTATCACAGCCCTCACACAAATCAATTGAGATTCGTGTGGCGCATATGTACTTGGTGCCTCTCTGTACCTATACTTATGTGTTAAAATAAAATAAAATAATAATAAAATTACCACTGATACTGTTACTACCTCTACTGTTCTGCGATTAAGCCTGGCAAATTGTTACAATATGAAGTGAGACAGTAATTCTCGATAAAAATTAACTGCTGAGTCTAGAAAACGAAAAGAGAAAGATCATCAGCGTAAATTATTACTCACATTATCTTTCCTTTCTTCATAACGCTTTAGTTTATCTGTGATGCATATCTTAAAAAGAAATCTTGCATTGCAACACAAATTTTAGCAAGGTGTCCTTTGTGTACACTGACTGATGTAAACTTTAATGTTTATGCGCCTGCCAAACAAATGTTACAAAAACCTGTTCTTATCTCACACCTTGGTAGAATCTAAATTGATGAGCCTCCTTTTATATGAAATTACAGGTAAAGTGAAATTGATGGACGATTCTGATCCTATAATGTGAGGCAAAAAATATCTTAACGTCTTTAGGTTGCCGTCCATAAACTTGGTCTCCTTGGCCATCTAATATGTAAATGGATTATGAAAAAATCCGTGATCTTACAAATCTATCCCTCATATCTTCTTACTGAAGATATATTTCCAAGGTGTCTAATTCCTTGTTGGTTGACAGAAGGAAATGAAACTGATTATCCACTGATGTTACTTAAAAAGGTATTTAAGAATGCGTTATTTGAAATGCACATCGTCTACTTAATATCAGTGGTCAGTTTAGTGATCTCTGCTTCAAGGTTTTGCAAAGTTACATTCATTTTTGATAGTGTATAAGTGAAGACAATCGCACACATAACTTCCTCAACTAATTCACTGCCACTTAGCTTTGTTGCAGAAGCTGGTAGCTTAAAGTCTATCTTGGTTGAACTTTTTTATCAGATTTATAGGAATAATAGGCTTACTTAGCTACCAACGGTATAGGTGTTTCCATCAGTTTAAACTTTGGATAGACGACCTTATTACTTTCAACCTGAATCTTGGCTACATCCAAATCAACTGAATCATTGATATAATCGGACTTCGTTTGATGTTCCTCATTGTTGATAATTTACAAGAATACTGTACTTATCTACTAGGCTCCCTGGTTTGCGGTGACGTCTTTTTATCCTGCAGATTAGTGGTATCATATCTAACTAATTTACTAAATGAAGCAACTGAATCTGTAGTTGCATAAAATTATCTAAAGGGAATTAATTTCTTTGTGTTCAAGATCACACGTATGATAACAAATCAGTTTCCATTCACATCAATTTAGTTTATTGTATGTATTTCGAAGATATTGTTAGGATTCACTCAGTAAATCGCATTCACTATTAAATTACTTGCTACAAGAAGCATGGATTACTGCAAATATATTTATTGAGAGCGAAAAAACCTGCAAAGATAGGAAACTATTTTTCGAATTTCAAAGCCCAAACATATTGAAAAACTCAACAGATTTCACGAAAAGGTATGTTGTAATAACGGAATTATGATTTCACTGTTTACATTGGTTACTAATATGCACTTGCATACTGTCTCACCAACGGAAACCCACATATGCTCGTGACTACCTACTGAGCACATAAATATACCTATGTCATCAGATGGAAAGTTTTCTGTGACAAGGTTCACGGTGTTAACATGGAGTGTGAACTCCGCTAATCCGTTAACACATCTGTAGTTAGTCTAGGTTTACCTTGGACAATTGCTTCATTATCGGGCTTCATTGGTGTAAACCTATTATCCCGGCAAGTAATAATTCGTTTTCCAAACTCGTAAGTAACCACAATTTCAGTCGTAACAATAGATCGACTTACTTGCAACCTACTAAGGAAGGAGATCTTTACTGCGTAACGCTGAATAACTTATTTGCTAGAGTATTTGCAATGTGTTATCCTTTTGATCTGTTTCATCTAGGACTCAAAATGAAACTGAATAACATTTTAAATCATCCTACAGTTGTGAATCTTGAGAAATAGATGAAATAGTCAACTATTTTCACGTGGCGGGAGAAAAAGGCGATATTTTGGTTCAATGTCGCTCATATTTTCCTCAATTTTGTCAATATTTCCCATTGTTTGCTTGGGGTTATAGTATCAACACAGTTTATTCTCTTAAATTACATCTACACAATAATTAATATCTTAGTATCAGTCTTAAGCTACGATTGTTAGCTCCTGGTGGTACGTTATATCAATTGTTATGAGTGAGTCTTTAGTATGCTTCGCCAATTTTATTACCACTCTAACTGTTGTATTTGATTAATGCGAAGCCATTTGGATTCATTGATCACCCACGTTTTTGGTCAGTCAGGTACTGTTCAGATTAACTTGAATGACACGTTCACTATACAATTTTCGCCGTCAGCAAAAAATAGCTTAGAAGACTCATTCATACTCCCATATCATTTAAAGTGTAGCACGTATTTTAGGTATTTTTTTGACATACCACAGTTAATGTTATGTATTACCCGTAATTTCTTATTTTTTTAGGATAGTGATAAATCCAGACAGAAACAAAGTCTTCATTCAACTATCTCAATCTCCAATAACACAGCACAAGAAACCTTCAGCTTGTTATTTAAACTATATGAGGTCTAAAAATTGATTTTGGCTTAACAATTCAGAGCGTTATCCATTTAAAGTGAATACGATAATTTTATATATTAACATTCTTCTATAGGCTTTTTTTAGTTCAAAATGCCAGCAAAATTACTTCGTTCGATAAATCAGTATTTATATCCTCAAGATGAGATATTCATATTGATAAGACCTATTATTACACTAATTAATAATACTGTGGGAGTAGCTGCTTTAGCTATGCCATTTTGTTTTCATCAGGTATTTATTTTGTTATTCATTTATGTTATAAAATTCAGTGTGGTATTTTATTATCATTTTTGTTTCTTGGAGTTACTGCTGCATTTTCAATAATGTCATGCGATGCTTTAATTGATATCTGTTCTACTCACCGAGTTCTTCCATTTGAACATGCTTGTAATTTTAAATATTCCATGTAAACTTGAACTCTATAGGCTTTAAAGCATTAGGACATATGGGAAAAAGTTTAGCTGAATTAAGGTAAGCGTTTTATTATGTGGGTGACTTTTTAGTGTTATTTGTTTGTTGTTCGGTTACGTTGTAGGTTATTATGTTACTATTGCAGACCTGAGCACTGGTGTTGTTTCACAAATCGCTGTAACTATAGTAAGTTTTACGTTATGAATTAATTTGATGTTATTTATTTACCATACTCATATACACAACTCCGAGCCATATGGATTGAGGGCTAATGATATTACCTTGGTGTTGTGTTCCATTTCTTGTTAATTACATCACGTGATTAATTCTACCAATTAGAACACCGAATTACGTATTCAGACCAATGACGTGTTAACCACTAAGAACAGCCTATTGTCAATTCTGAGTCCTGATTAGTCCTTCCTGTTTCAGTCCAGAACACAGCTTCTATTGTATGGGTCATATATTTCAGACTTACTTGGTTTATATATAAGCAAATGAGACCGCACCACACCATAAAACAGAAAATAAAAATCCCACAAGATCAGGCCAAGAGTGGCTGTAACTAATAAACTGGGAATAACTTAGTGGTAAATTGTATGACAGTAGTCAGTAGGTTAGACAGAAGCCTTTGATAGAAAGGATATAAATGTATATAGTTTAGTTACTTAACAGTTATACAATAAAAATATATTTATAATAACAGTCCATAAATAGCTCGCAGAAGTTACTCACAATTTAACCTCCTGATACAATACTTATTTATTTAGACACATAAACATTGCTACAAAGGAGCATTAAAAATGTCAGTCAGTCAGTAACAACGTGGAACTTTGTACGTACGTACATCAGTTCGAGTGGCCATACCACTTTAGCACAGAGATTCAGTTATAGATTCAAATCCCGTAGTGGTAGAGGTACTGAAAGTATAAGTAGTGATAGGGAACACTATGGTTTGATGATGTTATTTAAAGAGTATAGTCCAGTGGAATAGATTTGGAAAGAAAATAAAGGACATGAAGAATTCAGAAGATTAGAGCTTGGGAGAACACAATGAGTGGATGCACCTGCGCCGTTGCAAACGATTTTGAGCCATATCATTCAAGATCAGTTGCTATCATCTCGCGGACCCCAACCAGGTAGTCTACACCTACCAACATGGCTCAGTCTACTTGTCAGTGACTTGATGGATTTGTGCCATGTTTTGGTCTGGCCGTTACGATACGGTTTCATGGTAGTCGGTCACCAAAAATAGGTTTACATGCCATTTGTTCTTTCAGGATCTTGGAGCCTATGTGCACCATTGATGTGGAACTAGGATTTTCCAACTCCCTTACATGGGTCTTCCTCCTGGTTGGGGTCCTACAGATGGTGCAACAGTGGCTAGAGACGTTATCAAATATGACTGAGAATAGAAGCCAGTGACGATCATGCTATAACTTCTTTAACTGAAAGAATTCTTTATGGTTGTATTTTTGCTAACTGAACTATTATTATTATTATTGTCATTATTATTTATTATTATTATTATTGTGTGTCGTATATGTATTTGGTGTCCCCTTGTACCAATGTCTGTGTTCTGATAAACAAATAATTCACGCGCAAGGCCAAGGGTCTTAAGTCCAATTTTCTATTTCGTAGTCGTGAATTCTCACTGTTGAGAAGTCCTATACTAGATAGAACAAAAAGACCGTTCAGTACTTCAAAGTATCTAATTCTTTTCTAATTATGATCAGTTCATGCTTTAAATGATTCTCTATATATGCCATTATTTATTGAATCACATAAACATTGATACAAGGAGGCACCAAATAGATATGCGCCACATAAATAATTCGATTTGTGTGAGGGCTGGGATACTGTCCGGGTGCCCAAACCGAAGCAGGTGGTTTTCTTAGGACACCACGTCCGGAACCTTTGACTTAAAGGTCTAATCCACAAGGTAGTCGAGCAATGTCACGAGATGCAGTCCCGTGGTAGCCGGTAATCAACGATTGGTTCATACGCCATTTTTTCCTTCAGGATACTGGAGCCCATGTACAGCATTGGTTTGGAATTATGATTTTTCAACTCGCCTAGATGAACTCTCCGTGTCCACCAACCCGGTTTCCGCACCGGACATTCGCTTTTCATCCTAGATATATCCCAAGTTCCTCAGTAATTTATGGTGGCTGATTTGGAGCTGCTCATATAAGACTGAATCATTGATGTAATTCGGTAACTGGAAGTGCCATCAAATAATGACAAATCTTTCTAGTAGAATAAACTTTTCTAACAGAATAGCTCGTTTATATACAAAATTTATGGTTATAACGATGATGAATGAATGACTAACTATAAAATCTAATTATTGTCCTGTCTCATCTATTACAAACCTATCTCATTAACAATACAATTCATGAATTAAATATAACTAACTCGTGTTTACTAAACTTTACATTGTGTTTAATATTTTCTTACTAAGAATAGAAGTGCTTTCACTATACATACTGAAGTAGTAGATACAAAGTCCAGATTCATAAACAAAATAATTGAGAATTAAATATATAATAGTTTAAATCATTCAACATATTAATAATTCCTGTATGTCTAAACATTTTTTATCAGTGTAGGGTTGTGAAAATCGTTGAGTTTTAATTGAGATCATGAATTGATTAATGTTAAACCACTATTTGAAACCTGGAAGCACTAGGCGGCCACTTCGTCCTAGTATGGGACTATTCAGAAGTACTCATCCACGATCCTTCACAAGGGATGCGGATTCATGATCTTCAGTTTTGCGCTCGAATGCCTAACCGTTGGACCACTGAGCTGGCATCGAATGGTGTTAATGTCTAACTTCAACCAATCCATGATATTTGGCGACTATCTTCCATTGTCATCGGTCAATAACTACCTCACACTTGACACAGGTTAGTTCCACTGGTCGCGGTTTCTCACTAGAACTCCGAGAATTACCTCTCAAAGCTAGTCTCTAGTGAGCACATGATAATTATTAGTATGAGATTGTAAAGATTGTTAAGATTTTTTATTGAGGAGTTCCATACTAGGACGGAACATCCATTCACTGCTTCCAGGATATCAATATTGGTCTAACATTGATCGATTCATGATCTTTACCCAAAAACAAATAAATATTCATTATCCTTTTAAAACATTTTTACATTAGAATGATCTTTTTTCTCTTTCATTTCTCCTCTTCTATATTATTTAGCCAACTCATCAGCTTCGATTTATTTTACTAGTGACGTTTACAGTTACTTTAATACCACTTTGTTTAGTTTCAAGAGTTCAAAGTTTACTTCGATTGAATGTATTTACAAGTCTATTTTATGGTGTAGTTACTTTTCATGTGAGTTCTATGCAAAAAATAAACAAAACTATTCACTTGATTTTTTCATATATGCCAAGATTAACTTGAAGGAAATAGGTTGATAAATTAGTGCTTACAGTCAGTCACTTAGTTATCTATAAAATAGGACCAGGCACATATATATGTGGATCGGTCCAAGTTGTCATACCTCATTAGCACAACAAGATGAACACCAAATTCATAGAAGCAGTTACTTTAGTGGTAGTCATATATAAAAAGAGATTGCATATAAGAATACGATACAGAGAGAAAGAATTAGTTCGTAGAAAGGAATGTATAAAGTAATTTTAATCTCACAGTTTGAGGAAAAACAAAGAGTGTATACACCTATGTCATTGTCATCGATTCTGAGCCATGTCACCCAGAGTCTCCAACTATTCGTTACGATAGTCATACGGACCCTAACCAAATAGTGTGCATCTACCAACATGGCTCAGACCAGAAGTTAGTGACTTTATGAACTGATGCCATGTTTTGGTTTGGCCGCCCCTAACTTTCTTCCATCGGTTTCCAACACTAGTGAGCATTGAGCGCTCCCTAATATTCTGAGTCTAACCCCTCTATTACATACCCAGTGATCGCAGTAGATACCAACAATATTTTTAGACTATTAGTGCTTACAGTTTTTGTGATATATAACTGTGTAATATATTTTGCTTCATTTGTATAATGAAAGTATTGTCAAGACTAGTCTTGCATAAGCCTTTTAATATAATATTCCTTTCAATGAATGCAAAGAGATGATTAAGATTGTGTTATGTTCTACGATCGTCTAAGTCGATTAGTGATGTACAAGGTTCCTATAGGCTAACCCAACCAGATACTTGAGTAAGCAAACCAAGATTGAAAAAGAAGCTTTTATTGTTTCAACCAAATAGACTATATATCCATAACTCATTTATGAATAGATAAATATTCCACAGGAAATTAAGTTACACTTTTAACCTATAGCATGTGTCTACTTCCTCAGAAATTGAACCTAAATCATTTCTCATTGATCATTTACCTTATATCTGATTGACCCCGTATATCAGATTGATTAAAATTTTTCAGAATAATTATGGCTGCTTACAGTTTATTTATCAAGTGAAACTTGATGTACTCAACTCTAGACGTTACTTTTAGTGAAAGCTCTTCATATTGTTCATTTGCCTAAACCAAGGTAAATGAATAAGTATATGAAGGTTACAACCTTCAACCTAGCGACTTGAAAATCAAGTTATTTAACCGCTAAACAACTTGTTCAAAGCATGGCATATTGAACTTATAACTCTCAATTGATTTAAACTAAGCTATAATCTTTCATTTCAAATTGTGACTACAACAAGACTTCGTTTATACGATTTTTATTTTGAAAGCGTTTCCGGTCACTTAAAATATACAAATCCTCACATGTCATTCACCATTAATCTTCAGATATTAGACCATTAGCTCTATAATCTATGAATCACTATCAGTAATTAACACTATCGTTTACTAAAAGTGATTTATGGGATACACTATATAGATTTAATTTTAATGTTTTAATGTTTAAATGGGAATTATCTGTCAATTTAATTATTCTCCAGTAATCAATGTAATTGCGTTCTTGGATCAGTCCTTACAATAACGTCACTTAGTTGTTATCCAATTAACCTAGTAAAAATACTGTGAGTTATTCGCTTTTTAAAACAGTATGAAAAATGTTTGAAATACAAGTAAAACCGATATATCTAGTCGATCTTTACATTTAACTACTATTCAGTCATAGTGATCTCGAGTGTTACTGTTGGTGTGTGGGTAGTTGCCACTTCCCTGTGGAACGATACTTTCTGAGGGGTAACCTGTAAAGGAAACTGGGTTATAGGTGATGGTCTTGATGATACGGAAACTTGACTAAAGAGCTCAAGGAACAGCTGTATGAGGTAGGTCACACAGCGTGTTTGTATATGATTTTTTGATGTTTTAGCTCCGTACGTTAGCATCGACAACAGAAGTCCATGAGATAAAGTGATGCGCACTATTTTTTGGGCCAACATTTTTTACCACCTTCTGTTATGAAAATGTGACACCACTGTAGATGGTAATTGTCTGAGAGAAACACCTTACTATCGTCACATCTTTGTGCAGTCGGTATTTCAACTTAACCTCCGAACTTTAAATCTATTGCATTTAGATTTGACTGCCCTCCAACCAACCTAGCTATGATCGTATAGGACCTTCAGGAACGAGCATTTCAGTCAATATAACAATTAGATCCTCATGATGTCCAAGCTTGACTTCCACATTAACGTGTAGCAACTACGGTCAACTTAACCACCATTAAATAGCTTTTATTTTTTGTATCATTTAAGAATTTACGCCCAATTGACTTTGATTTTGTAACCAACCTTCAAAAATTATTAATTTTTATGAAAGCAAAAAATGTATTTTCTGTTCAGATGATTTTTATACTTGGTCTACCTCGATTAATTTCCAATATGCCTTGGGAAGAAATGAATTGGTGGAAACCAGCTGGTCTGATTGAATGTATTCCCATATTTTTAGCTTCAATGTTCTGTCAAACGTGAGTTGTTTTTTGCAGATTTCATTTCTATCTCCAGTAAAATTGATCATTACTACAATAACAGAAAAAAACTCTGAAGCTGTGTCCACCAAGTCAACTGACAAATTACTATTCACTAATTTACATTGATAATGATTTGGATTTCATCTATTCTAATGTATACTATTCACTAAGTTTGTAGGTGTCACAGCTCATACGTTCTGTGCGCAACAGCCGTTTATTGCCACTAAGAATTGATAATTTAGCGTTATTGTATTGGATCAGACCGCTGAGATGGTGGAGAAATTCTAATACTTCACTTCTACTTGAAGCTTACTGATGATGTCGCTCAGAGAAACGATGAAAGCTCCACGACCAAAAACAAAACTTCATCAAAAAGTATTAGATCTCTATGTGAAACGATGATTGAGTGACCCTTTCTAAGACGGTTTGTACATCCAAACAGTAGTTCATTTCACACATAAATTGAATGGTTTGTTTGGGTCATATACACTTTTGATACCCGTTTGCACCAATGTTTGTGTGTAAATACATATAAATATTGTTTTCCTGGAAACTTCACCTTAATCACGTAGAACGTGAACTGTTTCGAATAACCGCCATTTTAAATCTTCGGGCTGTATGCTCACCTATGAATCAGGGGGCTATTAAACTTGCTTTCTGAATGGTTAATTTAGAAAAACACATTGAAAATTCTATAAATACCTACACTTTTTCCCCTGTATTATTAAACTGGAGGTAGATCGTTTGCTTTCCTTTATCTTCTTTATTATTGGGTGGCGGTATCATTAATAATACAAATTCGATTGTTGAGTATTTTACGTTGAATTCATCATTGTATTGATATTTTGATTCGCGTAGCTGAAGACAGGTCATAATAGTAAATTGTTTTCTATTTTTCGATGATTACAATTATATAGTCCTAAGTATATTAACAGTTGGTGGTGGTGTTCCAGCCAGAAACAGTAGGTGAATCTTACTAGGGAAGCCTAGTGGTCCTTATGGAACGGATCCTGTTTTCTCGAGTCTCACAAACCCACCGCGTGAATGTGATTTAGTGGAGACTTCAGCCCCACGGGTCTTTGTATGCATAATGGTATCGCGCCAAAAGAACAAGTAAAGAAGTTTGCAAATTTACTTGCGCTAGATATGTGTAGTCTACTTGCATACTAGTTAACACACGAACTTTCATCTGAGTACCACTCAGCGCACATGCAGGTATATATAACCAAATGCCCTGGTACGGCCGAGAGTGAGGAGAGTCAGCTCTCCCTCTCGAAATGCTCTCACATGGTCACGTGCATACAACCACTGCCAGGGAAGCCTTACTGACTGCCCTCTCGCGGCGGGGTTGTTGTTTACGAGATTGAAGGGACGAAAAGCGAATATTCGACGCTTTAATCGGATTGGTGGATATGGAGAATCCACCTAGTAGAGTTGGAAAACCCTGATTCCAAACCAATGGTGCACATGGGCTCCAGGATCCTGAGGGAACAAAAGGCGTATGAACCCATTGTTGATCGCCGGCTATCACGGGACCGCATCTCCTTACGTTACTCCACTGCCTTCCGGATAAGACTCCCAAGTCAAAGATTCGTGGTGTGCCTCCCTAATAAAACCACCTGTTTCGGTTTGGGCGCTCGGGCAGTATCTCAGCTCTCATGCAAATCGAATGATTTATATGGTGCATGTCTATTTGGTGCCTCCTTGTACCAATGTTTACGTGTTGAAATAAGTAAATAACCATACGTTATATGCACACCGGTAACACAGTTTTTACCCCGTGCATCCTATAGCATAAACATAGGTATGTTCACCCACCTGGGAGTGTAGATGTTCACCGCTCCCAAAGAAAACGTATTTGCTACACCAGACTGACTCTTACAATTTATATGCATATCATTTACACTATGGCTACCACCCCAGTATTTCCGGACACACACATAAGCATGATCACTTTCTCGAGGGAGGTTGTTAGTCGCCTCACTCTAGTGTTTGCTACCATCTCTTTTTAATATATCTTCGGCCTGAAAGATAGACCGCTGATTTTATTAGACATAGACCAAACATTTTTGCAGCTCAACGTTTCCTTTGTATGACACCGCATGCGTACCCTTTGCATGTGCCCATATACTTAAACTACATAGGTGCGAGAACTGCAGTTCTCATACATAAGCATACACATCCGGTAGCCCGAGCAGTAAAGTGAAGTAAAGTAAATTGAACCCAGGATTGATCAGATACAATACAGTGGGTGATCAGTCCGATTTCTGCAACCACCTATGTTGTTTAGCAGGGTTACCCCCATTATCCAGCAGCTCCACGAGGAGGTCTTAGGTCGGATTTTGCTGGCTCTCAGTTATATTGCTTTATGTATAACTACCTAATTTTAGAAAGATTAGTTATCACTCTGAAAATACCGTTACACCTTTCCTGATAAATATCCATGTATTCGTAAGTCAGTAAATTCCTATTTCAGTGAAGTTTCGTTCACTGAGCCACCAAAATTGATTTACCTGAGCTACAAATCTTCACTATTACCTATTTTATTTACCTTCATTAAATGCTTTTCATCTACTCGGTTTCAACATGCATTACGTCATCGTCTGTATTGTATTATTATTTCTTATTTTAAGAAGATTCCTTAAAATTGTGATTTTAATCGTCATCACTGTACAGTTTACATTACAGACTGACTTCATTTAAACAATCACTGGAAACCAGGAAACACTGAACAACTGGAACATGAGCCTCAGATCTCTTGAAGTTCTGTAGAGAAGTCATAATCAACGCAATTCAACCATATTAAGTATGAGGCAGTAGTTATCCATTTCAATGGGATTTAGATTGATAGTCACGTAATATCGTGAGTTGATTAAACTTGGAAAATGTCAGCTAATAAAAGACTCAATCAATAGTCTGAAAATTGAAAACTCATCGCAAAACTCAAAGTTTCCTGGTTCAATCCCCAGTCAACTTGTACATGTTCATTTCTTCTCTGTAGTAGTCTTATTTCTAGGACAAAACAGCTACCGTCCAATACGACTGCCTAGCGTTTAATGATGGTTTAACTGTGTAAACTAACAGCAAAATGAAAAATTTCAACAATCTTCATATACTTTTTTTTAATAATCAAACTAATTTTATTATTATATTCTCGCTTCTTTTTTCGTTTTTTAGACAATTACATGTCACATCATCTAAATGTTTTCAGCCAACATTATCAAATATGCGATTGATAGTTCGTGTTGCATTGATTACAGTGGCTATAGTTTATGGATTTGTAAGTTGTTCGTTTGTTTGTTTGTTTGTTGAGTTCACGAGTTGATCTAAGCTAGACCTCCATTCAAAACCTGGAAGCATTGGTCGACCGTTTCTTGTTCTAGTATGGCACTCCTCAGTAGTGCACATTCATGATTCCGCTCACGAGAATGAAGGTCCTGGAATCGTGGATGCACTCTACTGATGAGTCCCATACTAGAACGAAACGTTCGTCCACTGTTTATTTGTATACTTTGTAATATTTTATAATAATTTGTATCTTGACAGATTTATACAGCAGTCGGTGTTTTCACGTGAGAACACAATTCATACGACTTGTAAATTTTATTTTGAAATTGAAACTAAGAGGAAATATGTCTTTGAAGAAGCGTGTAGAATATTTGATGATACCATATCTGTCAGCTTGTTGTATTCATTTAACGGTTGGATTGTTTATGAAAAGTAATGGCTTGGTCATAGTCACTAGTTCGAGTCCCATTGTAATGAAATTGAATCAATTTCAATTTAATGTAGGTAATTAACTAAGGTTTTGATTGATCACATCATATTTTGTTACAATTGTTCATCATAAAGTTGACTTTACATCCACTGACAGATATCAGTTAGTGAATGATTGAAAATCTTGGAAGAATTGAATCCCAGGACTTTTAGGTCTTGTAGTAACTTAGATACTACTCAGTCGCAGAATCGATTCATACACATTATTAATTTCAAATAACAGAACATGAATGACTGGTTAAACCTTAGTCGTATTGGTAGTGAGAGACAAATACAATTAGTTAATATTGATAAATGATCGTGTTTTGTCATGAACGAAAGAAAGTAGATCATTATTCAAATGGCTCAATAGTGGTGTCATGCTCATTGCGAGACCTGAAGCTCATGGGATCACAACACTTAGAACGATTGTATGGGCGTGCATCAATTGACGACGAGCTTCATACTAGAACGAAGCAACAGTTGTTCAGTGTCCTTTGATTTTCAGTGGCTACTCAGTTGATATCATTCTGTACCTTTATGTCTTATACTGAGCGGTAAACCTCTAGACTAATGTGTTTTTACACGAACTGCCAAAACTTAAAAAATATCAACAAATCCTCTCAGTCCATCAGTCAGCTACAAGGTAGGACCAGGCACATATATGCGTCGGTTCAAGTTGGTTTGGTGCATGGGGTCTCCATGTTAGACGATGTCTCACCTTATGCTTAAAATTTGTGTTTGCTAAAAATAAACGATTGTTTGAGCACAGTTGCAGCAGACGATCACCATTATCTATTCGCTGTGCCGGAATACTAAAATACCCACCTAAATGTCTTTCTGTTTGGTTTAAACTACCTATCTGGCATTAAAGTCACCTGCTACGAGTACTATGCCTAAACGTTTAGCTTTCTGAAGAAGTTCAAAGAGCTTTCTGTAAAATTCATCTTTCACTTCATCCGAATTGCAGTCAGTGGGAGCGTAGGCAGAATCGACGAAAAGGCAACGACGTGTGTCCCTATCCTTCCGAGTTCTTACGGAGCCGTTTAGCCGAACAGCGCATAGACGACTGTTAACAGGGATCCATTCTAATAGTTCTTGTTCTACCCACACGTGCTCACTAGGGAACCATTTTCGAGAGGTAACTCCCAGATTCATACTGGGAGAGTGTAATCAGTGGAATCCAACCGTCTTGGATGTGAGACAAGTATCACCAATCACAGTCGACAATAGTCGTGTAACATCAAGAATATTGACGAAAGTTAAAAAAGTGTAAACCATTAAATATTAACTTACTGGTTTAAAGGCTGTGTTCATCGCAAAATCTTAAAGCCCTGGATTCGATAGGGTTGTTGGTGCGCTATGTTGACGAGTCCCGAAATGAAAACAACTCCGATTAGTTTGTGACACAAACCACAAGAACTTCATATTTAGTGTTTATCATAAGTTTTAATTCATCATCATTATTATTCTCATTGTTTCTGTCTTGTTGTATAGTTTGGTTTCTTTGGCTACGTAGCATTCATTAGTTCGAAAAGGACAATATTTTCCGGTAACGTCTTTTTAATGTATCCAGATGATTTACGTAGTTTCTGTATACGTGTCGGATTTCTACTAACCAACATTGTCTCTATACCGCTGATTATTTTTCCATTACGTCAAACTGTATACAATTTGTTGTGTCAAAAAGTGAGTCGGTGTATTTAATGCATCCTATCCATTTTGTTACTCCCCTAACAATATTAATTAGTCATATTGTACTGAACGAGAACACAGGCGGGGACAACCAAATGTATTTTAATATAACATTACAGAATATCTTGGTAAAATATGAGAACCATACAGTAAATACTTCATTCGTAAAATATCTATCAATTGTCTCAGATTTTGTTGTTCCTTCGTTTCTATAACAATCACTCTCTGTTCTCGTTCTCTTCTCTTCGATTTTCTCAACCTTCTGTCGCCCGAAATTCCACTCTCGATTGGTGATGCTTACTACTTATATCTGTCGACATCAGCAGCACACACCACAGTATATGTATGTATGTCTGTATATGCTCTGACTGTACTGGTATCGACCTTTTATTTGTGTAATTAGAAAGACTTTCATAAGATAGATGACTGTCAAGTTATTGACTGACTTGAATTTCAACTATTCTATTTTAAATAATAAGGTACCGCTTAGGTGTAGTAACCAATTGTAGGTCAATGTACTTGTTATGTGTGCTGTCTATACTGTCAGATATAACTAGTATGTAGTCGCAATCCGAAGTGGAATGCCTAACAGAAAAAGAGAGAGAACAGAAAGGAAATCGGAGAGGAATCAAAATAATAACAGAATTAGACGAATAATAGGGTATTAGGTAAAGGACAACGCAAAGAAGCTGTATAAATGATATATTGAATGTGTGATTTTCATATTTTATCAAGATGTTGTTTAATTTTGTATTAAACAATATATTGGTTATTACTACCAAGTCTTCGTTCACTACATACTAATCTTCAAACCATATTTTAATTATAAGAAATAAAGATACTACAACTGTATATTTACTCAAACCAAAGTGAAAAATGTGCACAGTTCAAATGTGTAAGCTAATGTCGTAGTGTTTTTTTAGAGATGTATCATTTCAACTTGATTCAATAAAGCAGTCAATGTGAAAACGAAATGTTTTTTTATGTTAGCTGGTTGGCAGTAGTCAGTCAGCAGACGACTCTGCTTAGTCTAGGCTTTGTACTGGTTGTCACTTATCAGTAAAGGATGCCTAGAATTTCAAAAAATATTGAATCTCATAAAAGAGCAAAAGTTTCTTTCGAAATTTCAACGGTATCTTGTTGCCAAGTGTATCAACTAACACGAAACACAAGTGTAGAGTGTCTAGTCGGCTAACAAATAAACCGATTGTACCTAATTTCAAGTCATTAGTGATTACATCAAATAGAACTCAATCATTGCTAAGGTCTGAACAAACATAGTATTCATCACTACTCAGTGATCACTCAATTCAAATGAAATCTTTTGTGTCACATGTACCATTGAAAATGTACACCTTTATTAAATATGGTTCGTTAATATTTCAGTCAGTCATAGACAACATGAAAAACTCAGCATAAACTTTTTATTGATTCAAATTGCTACACTTAATGTCAGCACAATAAGAAAAATATAGTAATGACAAAAAGCAACAGTTAAGAAAAATGTTGCTCAAGATCATGGATCGATTGTGAGTTCAATCCTTGTCAGATAGAGACAGTTATCCACCTAAGATAATGATGAGGGGTTATTCAAGATCATGCATCGATTGATAATGCTTCTAAGTTTTCAATAATAGTCTTTCTTAGATCGACTCATGAATTCGACTAGTAAGAAAAATAAGCGTTAAGAGGAAATTCAGTTACTAAGTCTTAAGCATCAGTAATAGTTACATAACAACACAAAGATGACTGTTAAAATTATGTAAAGTAAGATTTTAAGAAGTACAATATACAAATGAGATTCGAAGAGAGAAAGAAAAAATTAAACCTAGGGTGATGAGGAAAAATAGATCGAATTGGGAATTAATAGTAATAGCAATAATAAAGACCCCCCCCCCAACGCCATGGTACTGCCGAGAATTAGGAGAGTCAGCTCTCTCGAAAATGCTCTCATATGGCTACGCGCATATACTCACTGCCTTCTCGTGACGACGGTATTGTTTACTAAGTTGAGAAAACGAAAATCGAATATCCGACGTTCAGACCAGGTTGGTGGAAACGGAGAACCCATATAAGGGAATTTGAAAATCCTAATTCTATATCATTGGTGAAGATGGACTCCAAGATTCTGAAAGAACAAATGGCGTATAAATTAATTGTTGGTCACCGGATACCATGGGATCGTATCTCTTAACGTTGCTCGATTACCTTTATAGATTGAACCTCTATGATAAGTATTGGCTGAGTAGCCCGCTCTTAGAAAATCACTCCAATTCGGTTTGTATTTCAGAACATTATCCTATCCCACACACAAATTGAATGATTTGTGTAGGTCATATACATTTTCGATGCTCCTTTTTTTTTCAATGTGACACGTTTAGTGCAATAATATTGAATTTTTGGAATAAAATATATTTCAACACATTCTTCTTAGTTTCTTATATCACTATATTATATGTGTATACATAAATGCTTAAACTAAGTGAATTCAATTAACTTCAATAGTTTCGTTAATCAGTTGATTTGATATTTTCTAGGAACCAATCACAATGACCACAACAATGACATTCTCATTCTCCTCTTTTGTTTTCTATCTTCTATTCGATCTTAACTTTTCATTAGTATTACAATGAAATATCAATATCATTCTGCGTTTTTTTTTCTTTTCAAATCATACCCCCCCACACACACACACACTCCATTGTTCACTAGTTTTCATTGTTATTAATGTCTAGTAAAATAAATAACAAGTCTATGAACTTTGATAAATATTCTAGATGGCGAGACTTCCATTGATGGATGGCCTAATTAGATTTAAAATAACGAGTCTTGAATTTTTGGTTTGAAATTTATTCATTCATTCATATGGTTAAATAACATCAGGATATTATAACTGATGTCAGTTTATGATGAAAAACCCTAATGCTAACTTCTAACGTTTAGTCGTAATACTACTTTTCCTCATACTTATTTATAACCCTATTTTGTAAGTGGACATTCTCAAGATCTCTTAAGCATTGCTCAAAGGTCGTTCATAAATGATAGTCTCATCTTTTAGGGTTTTTTTTATTGTTATTTTATATCATGAACTGTAATGTATATAGTAAGCCAATCAGAAATGACCTAGAGGACAAATACATATCATTGGCTAGGAAATGAACTGATTTTCTAAGGGATTGAAATATATATGCATACGCAAATGAGTATTCGGGCATAAAAACATTCTTTCTTTTACCCTTGTTTCCCGGCTCAATTAGTCAGTTTGTGGAGTCAATGTGTAACACGTTGTATATCAATATTGGATCTCGAACACCTTTCATTCCCTTGAAAAATAAATATGAAGAACGTTAAATCAATACAAGTAATTTCTATATCATGTCTCCAACTGTAAAGATAATAATTATCTCGCCAAGAAATTGATCACACTAATCTAATTCATACTATAATTTTAATAGTTAAATTCATGAATCGATCTAATCTAGACCACCACTGAATATCTAGAAACACTGGACGGCCGTTTCGTCCCAGTATGGGACTCTTCAGTAGTGGTCATTCACGATCTCACACACGGGACTCAAATCCAGGACTTTCAGTGGTGGTTTAACTTAGATCAACTTAGGAATGGAACTCTTAAAATTATTACAAACTCCACAAACATCCATTCTCATCATACTATAATTGTCAATAATTTCACATTGACAATGAAAGTATACGTAACATATGTCCTAGTCATTTGAAATGATAAAAGTTCACAAATTCACCTATCAACATGTCATTTTAACACTGTACTCTACTTCTGTATTAACCTCAGTTTTGTTCATCTATACACAATCAATACTTCGATGAAGTTTCATAATCAACTATTTTAATATTTAGTGTATAGAGAATGTATAAAATTATAGTAATTATCTTTACATCCTGATAGATTAGTATCTTTAATATCTCATTAGGTTTTAATCAGTTAATTGTGTTTAATTGCCGAGTATAGGTTCATATACTCAGTATTACTAGGATACATTGTTTGCATGAGAGCTAACAGTGATACCTTACGCAGTTGCGTAAACCAAAGTAAAGTGATGTTAAATTCAAACTCGTGATCTAATGCTTTAAACCTGGACGCTCTAACTACTAAGTAATTACGCTACAACCATTGAAAACTACCGATCACTAGACGACTATTTCATCGTAATATAAGACTTTTCGACGTTGGATACATAGCCAGGAACCATCCATCAAACTCAAAAGTCGTAGGACCTTCACGAACTAGTAATTTACGAGTATATTCTACTCTTAATGGCTATGTTTCGCAGCCGCAAAATAGAACAGAACGAACTGCTGCGCGGTATACTCATCCCTAAATTGATAGACGGATATCTCGCCTTCGCCATAGGTGATGTGAGTTGGCAAAAGCCAAACGATCTTTCTGGATCTGTGTAGTGGTTTTGTCAGACAGAAACTCATTAGGGTCGACCACACTTCGAAGATAAGTGAAGTTGCCGACGCATCCGACTACTTCAATCCTTATCCTCAGTTGATGTAAGCCAATCCTTAAGCAACAATTTACATTTAGAGGGGGAAGAAACTCATCCCAAACATCCAAGCATTGTTACTTAGTGTCACTGATAAGCTCAGTCTATCTTTCTCCCTAAAAACAAAAAAAATTATTCTACGATTTTATCGTATTAATGATTAATATTTTACAAATAATAAGAAGTATTTTATTTCTTAGGAATTTTTATGGCACATCCTCTTTCTTTTCTCTTTTAAAGAGATTAACTTCATTTGGTGTGGATTTGGAAATCGATTCAACTCCTATGATTTCTGAAGAAGTTCCAAGAAGGTTTATTCAGAAAATCACTATCTCATTACTACTTGTCTCATTTCTTCTCAGTTTAACTACGGATAAAAGTACTTTCAAATGTCTTTTTATACAGTATTTCTTCTGTTGTTACATTGTTTTCAATCTGTCTTAGACAATGTAGACAAATTAATAGTTAATCTGAAATTGTATGGATCAGTAGCGCTCAATAGTTACTTACTTACGCCTGTTACTCCTCGTGAAGGAGCATAGGCCGCTCACCAGCATTCTCCATCCAACCCTGTCCTGGGCAATCCTTTCAAGCTCTTTCCAGTTCTTATTCATCTTTTTCATATCTGCTTCTATTTCCCGACGTAATGTGTTCTTTGGCCTTCCTCTTTTCCGCTTCCCTTCAGGATTCCAAGTTAGCGCTTGTCTCGTAATGCAGTTTGATGATTTCCTCAATGTATGTCCTATCCATTTCCATCGTCTTTTCCTAATTTCCTCTTCAGCTGGAAGCTGGTTGGTTCTCTCCCACAAAAGGCTGTTGCTGATGGTATCCGGCCAATGGATGTTGAGTATCATGCGTAGACAGCTATTAATAAATACCTGTACCTTCTGGATGGTGGTTGTTGTAGTTCTCCAAGTTTCAGCTCCGTACAGTAGAACTGCCTTGACGTTCGTATTGAAGATTCTGACTTTGATATTGGTTGAAAGCTGTTTTGAGTTCCATATGTTCTTCAGTTGAAGGAATGCCGCTCTAGCTTTGCCAATCCTCGCCTTGACGTCTGCATCTGAACCTCCTTGTTTGTCGACGATGCTTCCCAGGTATGTGAAGGATTCCACGTCTTCCAGAGTTTCGCCATCAAGAGTGATTGGATTGCTGTTCTCCGTGTTGTATTTGAGGACCTTGGTTTTCCCTTTGTGTATGTTGAGGCCTACTGATGCAGAGACTGCTGCTATGCTGGCTGTCTTTATCCGCATTTGTTCGTGTGTATGTGATAGGAGGGCTAGGTCATCTGCGAAGTCCAAGTCGTCTAATTGGTTCTGAGCTGTCCATCGTATGCCGTAGTTTCCCTCAGATGTCGAGGTCTTCATAATCCAGTCGACCACCAGAAGAAACAGGAAGGGAGAGAGTAGACAGCCTTGTCTTACTCCGGTCCTTACTTGGAATGCGTCTGTCAGCTGTCCTTCATGCACTACTTTGCACTGTAGTCCATCGTATGAGTTCCGGATAATGTTGACAATCTTCTCAGGAACTCCGTAGTGTCGAAGAAGTTTCCATAACGTCCTATCTACACTGTCAAATGCCTTCTCATAATCAATGAAGTTGATGTAGAGTGACGAGTTCCACTCAATTGATTGTTCGACGATGATCCGTAGTGTCGCACTCTGGTCTGTGCACGACCGGTCCTTACGGAATCCAGCTTGTTGATCTCGAAGTTGAGCGTCAACTGCGTCTTTCATCCTGTTCAGTAACACTCTGTTGAAGACTTTACCCGGTATTGACAGTAGTGTAATGCCTCTGTAGTTTTCACACTTGCTCAGATCTCCTTTCTTTGGAATCTTGATGAGGTGTCCTTCTTTCCAATCCATCGGCACTTGTTCCTCCTCCCAAATCTTCTTGAATAGAAGATGAAACATGCTTGTAGTTACTTCGATGTCTGACTTCAACGCTTCAGCTGGTATATTGTCAGGTCCTGCTGCTTTCCCGCTCTTGATTTGTCTGACGGCCATTCTGATTTCTTCTGTCGTTGGTGGATTGACATTTATAGGAAGATCAGTGTGGGCTGCTTCGATGTCCGGTGGATTCATTGGAGCCGGCCTGTTCAGGAGTTCCTCGAAGTACTCTGCCCATCTGTTCCGCTGTTGTTGAATCTCAGTGATTGGTCTACCTTATTTGTCTTTGACTGGTCTTTCTGGTTTACTGTATTTCCCTGCAAGCTTCTTCGTCGTATCGTAAAGCTGTCTCATATTTCCTTCTCTTGCAGCTTTTTTCGTCGTCGTTGCTAGTTCTTCCACGTATTTTTGCTTATCAGCTCTAATGCTCTTCTTCACTTTCTTGTTTGCTTCTATGTACTCTGCTTGTGCTTGGACTTTCTCTGCTCTTGTTCGACTGTTGTTAATTGCTGTCTTCTTGTTCTTTCTTTCTTTGATCCTGTCCAGTGGTTCTGTAGAGATCCATTCCTTGTGATGATGCTTCTTGGGGCCCAGAACCTCTTGACACGTTGAAGTTAATGTTTCTTTGATACCTTTACAGCTATCCTCCATAGTAGTTTCTTCTTCCTTCAGTAGATCCTGTAAGGCTTGGAACCTGTTGTTGAGAGCTACCTTGAATTCATTGAGTTTGTCAGTATCTCGAAAGAAGGCTGTATTGAACCTTTGTGGTGCTGTTTGTCCAGTTGTCCAGTTCTTCTTTAGCTTCAGTTTCAATTTGGCCACAACCAGGTGATGATCTGAAGCTATGTCCGCTCCTCTCCTGGTTTTCACATCTTCCATTGTCCTTCGGAACTTTTTATTGATGCAAATGTGATCTATCTGGTTCTCTGTGGTGTGGTCCGGTGAGATCCATGTAGCTTTGTGTATACGTTTGTGTGGAAATGTTGTACCGCCTATGACCAATTTATTGAATGCACACAGATTTGCAAATCTTTCGCCGTTTTCGTTTCTCTCTCCCAGTCCATGTAGTCCCATGATATCTTCATATCCGGTGTTGTCCATTCCGACTTTGGCGTTTAGATCTCCCATCAGAATGGTGAGGTCCTTTCTTGGGCACTTCTCTATGATTGATTGCAGCCTCTCATAGAATTGATCTTTAACGTCGTCGTTGCTGTCATTGGTGGGTGCATAACATTGGATAATGTTCATTGTGATCCCCTCCTTCTTTGTTTTGAATGATGCTTTGATGATTCTGGATCCGTGAGATTCCCATCCTACAAGTGCATTTCGTGCTACTTTGGATAGTATTAGAGCAACTCCCTAAGTGTGTGGAGCATCTTCCTCTTTGTGACCGGAGTATAGCAGCATCTCTCCCGTATTTAGCCTTTGTTGTCCAGCTTGGGTCCAATGGGTTTCACTGATTCCCAGTACTGCCAAGTTGTATCTCCTCATTTCCGTTGCTATTTGACTGGTCTTCCCGGTCTCCCACATTGTCCGGACGTTCCATGTACCTATAAAAATTGTTTCTCTGGTTGTTAGAAGGGGCATCGGCCTCGTGGCTTCCGAAGGAACTCGGCTTTCACCATGAAGCGTCATATTACCTCTAACTCTCAGGGCAGAGTTTAAATGGTTTGAGTTATTTTTTCTGGTTAGCGTTTTTTAGCGAGTTAGTTTTCTACGGGGTGGGGACGCTAACCCCATGCCCAACCCTCCTCCTTTACCCGGGCTTGGGACCGGCAGTAACTCTGGAAGAGCTACAGGCGGAGTTGCTCAATAGTTAAAGAGGTTCAATTTGTAACGCCACTAAATCCAGGGTTCGAGCCCCACCTCGCCTATTCTGATCTTGACAACTGTGTAGTAGTATCATTTGCTCTCAAACTGAGTATGGCTCATACCTGATTGCTTGATAAATGAGCTTTTTTATTAACTATTAACGAAATTAAATCAACAATATGTGTTAGTTATGTCCATAACTAACCAATCAAATCGTTATTTAAGAGCCCACCACGTTTATCTGGTCTGATGTGTCTTTAAACTATCCCTGTTGCATGTGACCTATCAGTTGAAAGATATTATCGCGCACTGCTGAAGAGTCCCATACTAGGACGAAACGTCCTTCAGTGCTTCCAGGTTTTCCATGGTGGTCTAGTTTCAATTGACTCATGATTTCAACTATTGACTTTATTATCCTGTTATATTAGTGTAACTCATAAGTTTATTCATTTCGATAAGACACGCAATACTGGTCGAAACAGATAAAGTTTAAGTCCAAGTTGTCCTTGTTCTCACTATAGCTTTCACATAGACTTTGTGATCGCTAGTATCGCGTTTACGGCTCTAGTAGTATATCTGTAGAACAAATTAAATCCTACAATATGCACATAGCTATAGAATCGGAATAATAGTAGGAGTAGTGGCATTACTGCCAGAGAAGTCTTACTCAGTACTTCCACATGGGACAAACTGTTGTTTCCAAAGGTGATTGACGGAAAGTGAACATCTGATACATGATCTCGGTTAGTTGGATACAAATGATTTCTAAATCTCGTGATTTTAAATCATTAGGAGTACATGAGTTCGTTGATTATAAACCAGCAAACAGCTAATAGGTTTATTTTATGTGATCAGTCAACGTGAGATTACATCTCCCCTGAGATATAGCAACTTGGATCGATGCATATATGTGCCTGGTCCTACATTGTAGCTCACTGACTGACATCTCCCCTGATATTGCTTTAATTCCACATGGATTAGACCTAATAGATCCAGAACTTATATCAGTAGTCACATTCTAAATGTCAGATAAAATAAATTTTGATTATTCACAAAAATTTCTGTTCTCCTCTTTTCATCTCATTATTAATATATAGTGAAATGTTTTGTTCTGTTTTTTTTTTTCTATTATCATTATTTCAGTTGAAGTAATCATTCGATATACAACGAGTGTAGCTGGTTCATTGACTGGTTTCATTTTACCAGCATTGGTACTTATTGTTGCCACAATAAAAAATGGTAATCATCATCATCATCATTACAATGGTAGTAGTAGTAGTAGTCATAATAGTATATCACGTTTTTTACAAATTTATCGTAATTATTCAATTAGTGCTTATTGTCTACTATTAGTTGGTTGCCTTTTATTCTCATTAGAATTTTTCTCAGTACATCATACAAATAATGGGAATATAAATTCATTAAATAATTTAAATGAAATTAATAAAAATAATCTTCAATTATTATCAAAGAATCATATTGTTGATACTACTAGTACGAGTACTAATAGTAGTAGTAGTAGTAGTAGTAGTACTGCTACTAAAACTGTTACATCTCTTCAACCGAATATTGTTCAAATGAATTTAAATGCTCCACAACCAATTCTAAATATTACAATGAAAAATCCCCTTGAACCAATTGATTTAACAAAGATTCAATCACAAATGAGTGTCAATACTAATACTAATACTAATAATAAGTTAACTAATGTATCACCATTAATTACACAAAGTAATCAACAAACTAAACCCATTACAATTATAAATAAGACTATTTTGAAAAATTTTAAAAAATCACGATAACAACATCATCACCGACGTCGTCCACGACGACGACAACGTCGTTCAACGTGAAATTGATCAAATTCACATGAAATTTTGGTTTCTTTTTTTTTGTTGAAAAAAGTCTTAAGTAACGCTGTGATTGGTAAAGAAAGAAAGAAAAAAAGAAAAACCTTCCATAGAATTGAAATCATTCCAAAATCTACTGAATGACATAGACTAATAGTTGAAATCATCATGTAACAATGTTGTGTACATACGAATTGCATTCATGTCGATTCTGTGTAATTAAAATCATCGTCACGTGTATCTGTGTGTGTGTGTGTACCTTAATAGTTTATTGTTCTGTGATGTTTTTTTTGTGCAATTTCTTACATTAATAAATCATGTCCCCATTAACAATACACATGTGATATTTAAGGGATCAATAGCCATAATTTTGTGTTGTTTACTCTTGCCTTTCATTGGATTGTTTGTTTATGTTGAGTATGGCGACTGGGTTCTATACGTACGAAACACCGTTTCTTCTTTCGATGGTTGTGATTTTTTTTTTCTTCTTGTTGACTTGTCACCATACTTGTTAATGTTCCATCTTCTCATATGATTAATATATTTGTTGTGCGTAGATTATTTCAATGAATGGTACGATTGTATATTTATCTATGTATTTACCATTTGTTTACAATCTTTATACTACTTACCATCGACATACTCAGTGTTTGAGTTTGTTTGTCCTTTTGTATGAGAAGCTCTTTTGTATATGTATTATGTATGTACTTGTACTGTTCCACTTGTTCAATTATCAATAACAAGCTGTAATTGATCTTTCAACTGTCATCTGTGTATATGTAATATCCGCCCTATGGTTTATTTAAATCCATGATAAAAGTTTGTTTAATATGTTTTGATTCACATAATTTTTCTAAGTACTTTTGTAATTTGAATAAACATACCGGAGACTTTTTTCTAAATTTATTGTTCAAAGATAGAATAATGTTTAAATGATTAATGTTTTTTAGCGAGTTAGGATGGGATTGCTAACCCGACGCCCAACCTTCCTCCTTTACCCGGGTTTGGAATCGGTAGTAACTCTAGAAGAGTTACAGGCGGGTTTATAGAATAATGAGTTCACGGCCTTTACATCTTCAGGCTAGCGATAAACCTTCAGACCACTAGGTTGGCACTCAATGGTTTGTAACTCTAAGTCAATCAATTCACGTTATTACATAGTCATCTTCTAATATTGATGGTAAATAATTGGCCCACACCAGATTTATTTAAACTGTATCAGTTACGGATTCTCACTAGTCAATACATGGTTTTCATCGGTTGTTCAACTGAAGTTATTTCGTGTTGTGAAATATTAAAAGATATTTGTTACTTGTACTCAAGTTGATACTATTGATAATCAGCATTTTTACGTTATGGATGTCTCTTCATTTTTACTTCTTAAGTGACGGTCGTTTGATGATAATAAGTAGGGAAACGCATCATATGAAATTGGTTCGGTTTCTGTGAAAGCAGTATAGTTTGAGATGCGATTGGGGACAGATGTACTGTGTGGTAAATGTGTGCATAGCGTGGATCGGAAAATCATTAAGTACCAGACGTTCAGACTAGTCAAAACCAAGCCGATATCTTCAATGTAGTACGACGCAATGAGCTTCTCATTACTTAACTTAAGCCTACTACTCCTCTTGGACCATCGGTCCCCGATCAGGAATCTCCAGCTAACTTGGTTCTGGACTGTTTCCTACTTGTCAATCGCTACTCATTCTCTTGATATCTACCTCCAATCCCCGGTGCTGTGTGTTCTGTGATTTAACTCTTTTCTTTTTATATTGGAAATTCCAAGTTATGATTTGCCTTGTGATGCAGTTTGGTAATTTCCGTAAAGTGTCTCATATCCACCTACAGCATCTCTTTCTAATTTCCTCAATTGGAAACTGGTTTATTCACCTTCGGGCGCCGAGCGCGGACAGACACATTCATTATTATGCGATTTCCTTCCTATTATTGATTTCTACTTTTAACTCATTGAATGTAAACTAATTGTAATTGTCTTTGGATAAAGTATTGCTTAGCTTATACTCTGTTTCTCTTTTAGTAGTCCGATATCTGACTCCGTTTAAATCGTATTATGATTGTTATTGAAATATACATGTCGCCAATCCTCATATATACTTATCAACTTAATTCGCGTTAGTGAATAATGGGATTAAATAAGTCAAATACGTGTATTTCATGCAATCGTTGATCCAGACAAACAGTCGGAGCAGCGAAGAAAAGAGAGCGAAACGAAATGGCGCGCAGTAAATACGTGTTAACCAACTCGATTTAACCAAGTGTGAATCGATATTTCTAGTCTGACAAAAAAAGGTTACAGACATGTGGTGATTGAGATGAGAAATTCACACACAAATCATATAAAATCAATCAGGATTAATAAGCGAATAAATGACAGGGTATAAATGTGGTTTGAGAAGAATCAATAGATTGATCTGTCCAGGCTTGAATAGCTTATATGGGCTTGACATGGGGCTAGCCCTTACATTATGGTTGATTTTGTATCTGGCATAACGTGATTTCAATCTGTGTATGGCTTATCGATAGAGTATACAGTATGATTGTGATATAATTTTTGTCACTGATCCTATAACGCTAGCTTGTCGTGACGATAGAAAACATTATCCTCTGTTGTCCTATCAGAGTTCTGATTAGTAGTCTTAAGTGAAATCAAGCAAGTAATATCGATGAATTTTGTACAAATAATTAAACTTTTATCCAATCGCTGTGTTTATTTACAACTACTGGGAAATACCAGTAGAATAATCAAGTTGTATTTGTTTGCGATGTGGTTGTAGTATTGTGGTGTATGCTACTTATGTTGACAGGTATAAGTAGATATTTTTATTAATTTGAACACAAATATTGGTACAAGGGGGAACCAAATATATATGCGCCACACTCGTGTTTTAGTATGTGGGCTGAGATACTGCCCGGATGCCCAGACCGAAGAAGGTGGTTTTCTTAGGGGGCCACGCTCCGAGCCTTTGACTTAAAGGTCTAGTCCACAAGGCAGTGGAGCATCGTGAGGAGATGCAGTCCCATGGAGGCCGGTGACCAATAAATTGGTTCATACGCCATTTATTCCCGCAGGATACTCGAGCCCACGTGCACCATTGATTTGGGATCCGGTTATAGCTCCAGACATTCGCTTTTCGTCCTCTCATTTTCGTAAACAAAAGCCCCGCTACGAGAAGGCAGTGAGGACTTCCCTGGCAGAAGCTGTATACGGGTGACCGTGTGAGAGTATTACGAGAGGGAGGGCGAACCCACCCCACTCTCGGCCATACCTGGGCATTTGGTGGCGGTATATGTAGTAGTATGTAACACTAATCAGAAATGGAATGTCTGGCAGTCGAAAGTTGTGATCTAATTGAAGAGAACAAGAATGTAAACAGAGAGTAATTATAATAATAACGGGGATAGAGGAACGATGAAGTTTGTAAGCGACAACTGAGGGAAGATGTGAAAATGAAGTATTTAATGTATGATTTTCATATTTTAAGAAAATACTGTAATGTCGCATTTAGCAATAATTTGATATTGCTCACCGGGGTTCTCGCTCACTTCAGTATGTTCGCTAAGTTGAGTGGTTTCATTACAAAGCTTTTAATATCATTCTGGACAATATCATCAGTGTCTATCTCATGTACAAGTGAGGTTTCTAGTTAATCAACAAGTGTTACGTTAAACTGTTTCGATGATTTTGTCGGTAAATGATTGTTTTGAGAGGTTTTGTCAACCCTACTTGCCTTTGTGTCCTGGTTGAGCAATTTGGCACCTAGATATATGATTGGTTGGTAAACAGACTTCATACCGATCTGTTTGTTGCTTGTAGGGATCGACCTGAATGTCCTGCTCCCTTGAGTTTCCTCAATCAATGATTTTGATATTTTCTGTAGGATTGTCAGTGTGCAATGATATGAGTGATAACATATTTTGTTTTACTGTCAGTTTATTTTCGTGTATTTGCGCATGAAGAGGGAAGTGTAATTTGTCCAAAATAATGTTTGTCACATTTGACTCAATTTGTTCTGTTACGTCTTTTAGTCTACTCACTTGTTGCATCAACGGAATCACAGATTTTTATGTATGTTTAGCATCTTCAACATAATAAAGCCAAGATCGTGAAACAGATTCTTTTAAAACTTTGTCTATATGTAACTAAAAAGCTAGACTACTTCTAATTCACCATGTATAATTTGTATGAAATTGTTAAAGAATGGAAAGTTGACGTAATCTAAGTCATCATCCAACTTCCCTAGGTGGATTCTCCATATCCACCAACTCGGTTAAAGCGCCGGATATTCGCTTTTCATCCTCTGGTTTTCGTAAACAACACCAAATGCCCTGGTACGGCCGAGAGTGGGGAGAGTCCGCTCTCCCTCTCGAAATGCTCTCACATGGCCACGCGTATATAGCCTCTTCCAGGGAAGTCCTACTCACTGCCTTCACGTGGCGGGGGTGTTGTTTACGAAAATGAGAGGACGAAAAGCGAATGTCTGGCGCTTTAACCGGATCCCAAACCAATGGTGCACATGGGCTCCAGTCTCTTGAAGGAACAAATGGCGTATGAACCAATTTGTTCGTCACCGGCCTCCATGGGACTGCATCTCCTCACGATGCTCCACTGCCTTGTGGATCAGCCGTTCAGGTCGAAGGCTCGGGGTGTGGGCCCCTAAGAAAACCACCTGCTTCGGTTTGGGCACCCGAGCAGTATCACAGCCCTCACACAAATCAATTGAGATTCGTGTGGCGCATATGTATTTGGTGCCTCCTTGTACCTATACTTATGTGTTAAAATAGTAATAAACAACACCCTTGCCACGAGAGGGCAGTGAGTAGTGCTTCCCTGGTGTGGGTTACTTATATCCACACAAGTAGTATATAACCGTGATCAGGCATAGAATGTATTTCAGTAGAAGGTCGATGAGGAAAGGACGGGAACGGAACGC